AATTTTAGTCTCCAGGATGAAAGAGAACACTTAATCATTAATCAGATGTTAATAAAATCAACGAATGTGCTCTCCAGAAGTAGCCTGACAAGGTAAATTAGACAGATTAACAATCCGAAAAAGATTTAAGCTTAAGCAGATATATAAAAGCAAATATATTAAATTTACAGTGTACGCGCCTTATTATAATTCTTGCATCACCAAAAAGTCATCTGCGATACATTTATCTTTTTTTTCTTACCAGCAGAACGAGACATAAGTTCACTATTCCTCTGTAGTTTTCAAAACCGCTCGTTGAGGTTAAAAGTGATTCTTCAACCGTGTGAACCCTGGATTAACGACATTCGAAAGAGTCAACTTGGACTCCACATGCAAGAAGTCATCATCTTTAAAAGTTCAAACTTCAGACTTACGGCTTTGCATAAATATTTTCAAGATTCGTTTTATGCTTGCTCTCCGAATTCTTCTCCACTTTTTTAGAGGATGATCTCTGTCTCAGCGTCGGAGAACTCATGATTGCAGAGAAAAGTTTTTCTACCTTTCTCACTCTCGCTTGCGATCACCTTTGGACCGCTGGACAAACGATCGACGTCAACAATACAACGCTGCAAAATTAGTCAAGGGTGGGTGGCGTGGGGGTGATCAAGTGAAACGACTACTTTTTTGTCGCTCATAAGGGATACATTCGTTTGGATTATTACAGGTAGGTCGCTAAAGTGCTTCTCTAGACTTGACAGCAATAAAGGAAACAATCTAGGACTATATTGGAGAGCTGTGGAGCAGAGGTAAAGTGGCGTTTCGGCCCGGAGGGGGGCACATGCAAAGTGTGTCAATCGAACCTCCGGCACGTGGGTAAAGTCAACCTCGTCCTCTCGTCCCCAGGGTCTTTTCGCTTTCTAATATGGCGGCGGCGGCAAGAGGAAAATCTGACGAGCATTATACCAAACAACGGCTGCTATTTGCAACCGATTTGAAGGTAAGTGTAGAAACAAAGTTAACTTAATCATGTGTCATGTTTTTTGTTGTTGTTGTTGTTGTTGTTGTTGTTGTTGCTTTTTTTTTTTCGCTTCCCCGAGCTGTTTAAAGGGTTATGTAATTTTGCGAGATAATTATTTGAACCGGGCGGCTAGAAGTACTTTTTTTTTTAAATGAGGAGAACAGCCAGTCTGCAGAGTATAGCAAGCGCACACACGAGCCTTGTGTTGTTTAAACGCTTGATGCGCACACCGAAATCAATGGTAGTATTTCACTTGACGGCATTGCCGGTGCTTGACAAGATATTTGCACCTTACATGCATGGAAATAAGCCATGCTAACTTCTCAGTTCTCCCATATCTTTTCCGCAACCCCATACATATATTAAGTCATTTGCCTTCTCATCACTATGGCGAGGTATATGTAACTTTAATGCTTTCTTGTTACTGAACCGAACGCTAAAGCATGACCATACTGTGCATGGGGGCTAGGAGGCAATTGTTCCTTAGGAAGATTTGACATTTAGTTCGTCTGAAATATCTGGAATAATTAGGTGTCTAAGACTATCCTTCTAATACTGCTACACATTTATTACAATTATTTTATGGAGCACAATGAAGTAATGCTGCCTGAAAAACTGCCTCTTGATGCATTGTCACAAATCGATTACGGACACACTAGACATTGTGAAGATTGCTTGTGCCAACAAACAACACAGAGGGCATTTTAGAAAATTTGAGTAGGGGTATGCGTATGGCTGAGTGGAAGATGAGACCCCCCCTCCCCCTCACGCCACGTTTCAAAACGCTCGGCCGCCTCTGGCTCACCAGTAATTCTTCTATAAAGTAAGAAAAAAAAAAATTGGTTCTCAGATTTCAATAACAACAAGGACCACACAAACAGAGGGTGGTCTGCCTGTGCACTGACATTAATTTGCTTTTTTATTTCTTGCTTACCATAAATGTATATTCATATACTATACATATAGCCTCACATGGTTTGTTAACTTTATATATTACATTATTATGTTAATTTCTGTGTAAGTTTCGATACTGCGCAGCTATGTCTACACCAGTTGAATGATTTTATCCCTATTCCAACCTCTCAACCCCCCTCTTGCCTCTTTAATTGGGTTTACAGTCATCCCCTATCACCCTCAAAGGGTGGGGAAATGAAGCCTCTACATTTTTTAAGAATGCAATAATGGAAGTACTTGTTTGAAGACAAACATATTCATCATATTTGTAAGCGACCTTTTTGTAAAAAGTATATGTTGGAAAAAGATGTGTTGCAATGTTGATTATGTGTATGCATCCGGTGTTAATCAAGCATAGACATGTAAATACTTTTTCATTTAGTTACT